CTGCTGGACACAACACGTCGGAACACTGTTAAGGCCGTTCAGTACCGCCACCGCCCCATTTCTCGTACGAGGAATTCTTTCTGCAAAGTGAGTTGCGGCAAGCTAGTATATCGATTGTCCTCTCTTATCATCAAACTCTGCTTGCTAACAGTCCGTTTAACTCTTTTTTTCCCGCTCCTTAGGACATTCGACTTGTGCAATCGGGCAAGGATATATCAAAAGGCCTTCAGTCAAACTCCGCTCAAGATGTCAGCACACGCTAAACCATCAAGTAAGTCTGCTGTTTGTTTCATATTTTGTGCATAAAATCTAGTGTCCATATAAATAATCCAGTGATATGATGATGATAGTTCGACCATCGATTTCGATTATGCCCACCATATGCCCAAGAGCAGGGATGGTGACTGCAGACAGACGAGATTTCAGTGAAATAGACGCGCAGCTGTCTGCCTCACTCTAAACCCTTACCTGTTTAAACAAGACAGAGTCAAGATGACCGAACTGGATCGGGCGTAGGCCGCTTTCTACGATGCAGGCCAGAACACCGCCTAAGCTTGTCTTAAGGGAGAAGAAGACGACTGGATCGCTGGGACAATACTTTTATTCGTCTGACGTTTCGACATCCGTCGCGGATTCATCATCAGAGACATTAGCAGAAAAGTGACAGTGGTCTTTTGCGCGGGTACTACCGCACTGTCTACCCTCATTCACCTCCAGTAGGTGTGAAGACAGACTCAAGGCAACCAAGGCTGGCACTACTACTGCTGTTTCTACTACTACTAACCAGGAGTGTAGCTGAGTGGTAATAGTATTGGCACTATGTCTTAAGTTAGTATTTGTCGGAGGTGTCGCTGATTCAAGTCAACGCTGGGCATCATATCACCTCGATCTCAACGAGGAGAGCAAGAATGCGGGTTTATGCTATTCCGAGTAAATACATGTTTGAGGCCGAAAGCACGTCAGAACTTGCCTTGGGTTCAGCCCTCTCACCTCTGTCCACCAAAAGCTGTGTCACATTCTACTAAGTTTGAGCCAGGATAATGCTGGTAGAGGTAATATGCCACTGCTAAGAGTGTTGTGATCAGGATTACTAAGAACAACGGATAGTATATGCTACTAATATATTCCTATAATTCTATCAATAGCTGACATGCATCCTATTTATGCAACAAGCATAACAGATGGGAATATGAGCTTATGCGCGCCCTAAACTTCATCTGGGCTGATTTGTAAGACACCCAGACGAGCGTTCACCTCTGATTAGTAAACCCTAATGTCTATAGAACTAAACGAGTGATATACTTTCTTATCGAATACGACTTGTGTGAGACCTCAAAGAGATGGCAAAGGAACCCCAACCGACACCGGGGTTACCCTAAATACCACTAAGTGTAAAAAACTTATTAACAAAATAAGATAAAGGGTTAAAGTAGCCTAATAACATAATGGTAGCTCAGAATGAGATACTGAAACGTTTATATAGTTCGCTCATGGTCACTAGTGCACACGAAAGCTCGTGGAAGAACTTCAGTAGACGTGAGGCCTCGAAATCTCAGAAACCAGAATACGAATATGATTTGCAGTCAACGAAACGGGGGCAGTTTAGACTCTGTACTTCGATATGACTTCTGTCATTTGAATGAGTGGTGGTTTGAGGGGGACGTTGCGGTTCCTGAGGACAAGAAGCAGGGCAAGCTAAGTTTAAGACAGTTTCCTAAATGAAGTCAAAGCGTTCACCGGAATCGTAACTTTATTCATCTGAGCTTTCGGGCTCTCCTAAATTCTCGATGGTCCTTTTTCGGGGTCATCAAGAAAGCTGCTCGGGAAAGATGAGGAAGATAAAAAGTCTAATAGAGCCAGTCTTAAGATAAATGCACAGTCTTCACTTTAAAGCAGATAGACTAGTTAACGACCGAATTTCAGTTGGCAAATTATACCAAAGAAGGCTATACCTGGAAGTAAAGAATAGAGAGCATGCAGGAGGAGTCATAAGTCCGATAAGCTGGCAATTTTAACCGAGGTCCGTATCCTAAGTCGTACTCCGAGCGTACTGTTGCATAAACTATTTAGTACGTCTTGTTTCTGTCCTCGTGCTGATGGAGTAGGGTCATTTTCAGCCATGCCTTCACGAACTAACTCCCCATGAATTCCTCCTTGATCTTTTAGCCGCTACTAAGAGGGCTCCCGAGGTGGAGTCTCTGGAGAGTCTCGTAAAGATGATCCAGGACTGTCCAGAGAGCAAGTGCTTAGCCAAGAGCTACCTCACGACAGACTTCGTGAAAAAGATGAGCTCGGTCAAAAGCGAATACGGTTGCACCCTTGCACATATTATCCGGAATTGTAAGTGGCCGCTTCTCTTTCTCTCTCCCCCCCCCCTTGTGGTTTTACCTACAATTTATTGGCTCGTTGTTGATATTGTGGAAGTCTTCGACTTAATGTCAAACGCCGTCTTTAAGAAGAGAAAGATAAAATGTGCTGTGGTATCTAGAACAGTATCTGTTCTCAGGGCACTACAACCATGAGGCCGAGTCCAAAGGTGTAAGAAAAGACAGAAGGCACCTTTGGAAGGCATTTATTGTGCACGTAACTCCTATTTGCTGTCGCAGGCAGTACTGGAAATAAGGGGGTGTGTTCAAGTGACACTTGTAACGCACCCTTGTGCGTCCGAGTGGAAGTTGATCAAGTATCTGTAGAGTAGGGAGTTTGAGAGTGCTCACTACGAGCGTGAATGACATTGAGGCAGTGGAGCTTGAACGAAGACGTTGCACATGACAATGTTGAGCGTCGACTATACTACTGACTAGCCGCACATGTTACATAGAGAGCAGGATCAGCGCGTTCTTGGTTCGTACTGGGTACAAATAAGTCTTCCAATTATTTGTAACTAAACTCGCCGACACTTGACAGAGTCAAGAACCACACTCGGAGAACCAAAACGTTTGGGTCTTGGGTCTGCCCTTTTCACAGGTTAGTGTTCTATGCGCCCTCGCTACCTTCTTCACCCTGACAGTCAGCAATAACAGCAGCGTGTTGGACCTGGGAGCAATGGTGGGGGTTGAATAGCATAGTGATGCATCCGAAGAAAACTGTTGGTTGGCCATTACGGCGGTTGTGAAGACAGCAGTCTACTTAAAGAGCACTATCAGGGCTCGCCGGTCTTAGTAACTGCCATCAAACCCCAGCTGAGCGGACCGCAAAATAGTGTTCAATTTTTGTGTTGATTTCGGTCTACCGCCTCGAGGGACGTCGCAGATAACATATTGACTTAGGATGGAATGAATACCGGCAAAAGCAAAGAAAACTTCCGTGGAGATTTCCAGTTTAATTGTCCTTACTAAATAATGTCTCCCAACCCGAAGACTGGTATGTGCGTAGTTTTGATCACAGTCATTTGGTCAGAGAACATTGAAGTTAACTGTTCCAAGGGTCACGTTTTGTCCTTTGTGGTCGACTAAATGTGGCTTCTCATGTGACTGAGTATTTCCGATAGCAAAGACGCGGCCTACGGTTCAAGACAACAAGGCTTTCTACTCGAGTACTCAATGAGCAACTGATTCTGATCCAAATTTCAGATTTTCCAAGCCTGCCGTTATAATATGGTGGCAACAACTAAACGAGAAATGATGTGTAATCGATGAGTGCAGAAGTATCCGGACCTAGGGCTAGAAATGCCCGATAACTCCTTGCGTTAAAACTACATATCACCCGCCCATGCAAGTGCTCGGCTGGTGAGTGGTACCTAGTTGGCAAAAGCAGCGCCAGTAGGATGACCATTTCTGACTTATTTGCTGTCCTCAGCCAGTAATGCTTCAATTGCAGACTGAACACATCAATTTTGAATCGATAGTTTTTTTTTCTACACGGGAGTATCGGGAACTGATGCCGTTGCCCGCCTGAAGGTATCGAATTGTGCCAAAATCTAAGCACTCTTAGGCTGTCCGTCAAGAACCGAAGGTTGTCGTACTTTCCGTATCCGGCGTCTGTCTTCGGAGTAGAGGGTAGACCTCAGATCCGATAGCCGCAGAAGTTAACGAACGAAGAAGTACAATCCGCGATACAACCGAGACCGACTAAATCCCGTATGATCATATCTGTAGTTCATAAGTGTAGCATGAGGTTCATTTTCCATCTTCGGGTTAGATAGGCACAGTGCTATCCCCACATCACAGGTATACATGGGACGTATAATATGCCCAGAGCGTCTGTAAATCTGGGTCAACTGTTCGCGTATATCGCCACCTCATGAAGCTCCAGAAAGATCTGGGTTAGGGTTAAGACGCAGACATATGCACACTTTCTGGACTTTATCGCAAGGCAGTATGTCGAGGTATTTTTATTTACATGTCCTGTCATACCACATAATAATGCGAAGCAATTTAGCAAATGTCACTATATGAAATTTGTTTTTAATCTCAAAAAACAGACATCTAATCCCTCTTCTCCTCTAATTTTAATCTAGGCGCACTGAATCCGAAATCGGAGTGTCCGAGAGTTGGTGATGCCGACTGCTACAAAGTCTTTCAGGAGTTCTTGGATATCGTGATCAAGACGTACCACAAAATACCCTCAGACGACTTCAAGCATCCAGAGCCAACTTTTGGAGACCTCGAAAAGTTGCCATTCGGTAATCTCGATCCGACAGGTAAGAATTCAGCCTCAGTGATTGCTCCTTCGACTGGACCAGGCACTTTTGTCCAGTTCTTCTATGCCTCCCTCTTCTCCCCAGTTTCCATGAACTGTGTCTCACTCTCTCCCTCTCTCGGTGTCTTTCTCCCTCGTCCGCCAGGTGACTCCGTGGTCTCAACCCGTGTGCGTGTTGGCCGTAGCATTGATGGTTTCCCGTTCTCTACCATCATCAGCAAGGAGGACAGGTTATTGCTGGAGCAGAAGTTGTCTGCCGTCCTCAAGGGCCTTACTGGTGAATTCGCGGGAACCTACCATTCACTGGATGGGATGGATGATGAAACAAAGGACAAATTGGTGAAAGACCACTTCCTCTTCGGAGACAGTAACAAGTACTTTCCCTATTCCGCTCATATTTAAACTTTTTTACACAAAGCAGCGGGGCACTCGGTAAGGATGACTGGAATAAGAACGTCCCGCCCACTTAAAACAGGTGTCCTTGTGATACACTTCCGTAGTGCTAACTACAACATAAGAATAAAATATAACCGCCATCTTGAACCCAGACGTCCCGTATAGTTAACACGAACCCAAGCCTTCATCTTCATCCTAAATCTACTTTTCCACGGAAAATGCCGCTAAGCCAAATGCGTTGCAGGCGGTTCCTGCTTCCGGGTCCCCTTGTGGTGGCCACATAGGCCATCCTTACAGATCACTCTTACAGGAAATTGTCACCACATTAAGGGCATTGGTGGAAATGCCGTTTCCCAGATATGGGAACAAGGAACTAAAACTCCCGCATGCTTTAGGTAGCTGCTATGGGGATATGGTTAAGGGAATTGCTGACAGTGAAGATGGAAGTTGGTGGGACCATGTTTGAAATAATAACCATATTTAGGCAGCTTTATACTGGTTACAAGTCTGGATAATTCGAGATTCTAGCCGAGGCTCTCCTCACATGTTCGATTTTTTGTCAGGGCAAAAAGACAAAGAAAACAAATATATTCTGCCCTGTAGTGAGTTTTGTGAAGTGTCATAGAGACTGAGGTAAGGTAGTTATTAATTGAATGTATAATCATAGGCAAAAGCAGTAGGAATATTGAACATAAGCTTTTGTGTAGAACATTGGTGTCGGTAAATTTCGAATGTTTTTCTATCTGCGTAATGTCGAGTTCTTTTTTCTACACATACAGGATATTCCAGGATGCTGGTGGCTATAGAGACTGGCCTGTTGGTCGAGGCATATTTTTTAACAAAGACAAGACCTTCCTCTGTTGGATTGGAGAGGAAGACCACCTGAGGGTCATTTCAATGCAGGAAGGCGGTGATTTGGCCGCAGTCTACGCGCGCCTAGCCAGAGTGAGTTATCGTCATCCCACATACGTATTTTCACAGTCAAATGTTCTGTTAACCTCTATATACATGCATCCCGATCAGTGTGATGTATGCTTAATTTGAAGCATTTCGCTTTGTGAGCTGTCAGCTGCAGTGCTCTGCTCCATTCGGGGCAGATTTACAAAGGTTTTGTGGGAAATTACGCGTCCAGTACCAGTGCCAAATGAAGACACGAACGGACGACAGTTCGATTGTAGCAAATGGTGACATCCACCGCGTGCCGCGTGCGATTTTGCGCAACACTAGTGGCTTGCTAGCGAATTAGTTGCCAGTGTGTATCATCTACGGCTCTCGCCCTTATTATCCGGATAGCAGACCAGAGGTGGCGCGGGTGATCTGGCTGGTATAGTTAAACAACCCGTCTACACGGACCACGCATGACCACTTGACGGTAGTTGATAAGGCTACGTCCCCTCATGCCATGCATCACTTTTCACACAACCTCACAACTGTCAAATTTCTTTCGGAGAAAGGAGGGCCCTGACCTCACGAATAAAGGGGCACGGACTTATCTCGCCAGCTGCTAGCCTCTCAGACTACGAAGGTTAGCACATCGATTTTGTACTAAGGGGCAGGAAAGCACCGATTTATCCGGACGGCTATTCAGGCGACCAGAAGTGGGCGCGGTGGAGCTGACTGGCATAACTGGAAGGTGGTCTTTGATCTCGTGAATAACACCACGAGGGTAAATTAAGGGATCACGGACTTATGCCGCTAAATGCTAGCCTCTCAGGCTCCGAACGATGGTACACCGGATTTATTCTGGGAGGCGAGAAAGGACCCATGTACCGTAGGCAAAGTGCTCTCAGGCTCGGCTTCACTATCCCTCTCGTACGCCAGTAAACTGTCTGAGTCCTCAAGTCAACTGCTGATGAAACTGAACACAGCAGCTGGCGCGACGGAAAGATCTTCGGCCACTGCAGATCATCAGCCTGTTCGACTGTCGAGTCTGACGATGCCCACCGTGTGTTTAATAGCCTGGCTGTGCGGGGACGGTGACTTACGCGTGGATGTGTTTTAAGTGATAGTAGACTTGCGTTGCGTCTACCGCTCTCTTTCTCTGCCCTCACTTCTTATGCTCGATGTCAAGGCGAAGTCACGAAGACCGGAAGCTGGGTTGGGCTCAGACCGTCGTGTCCGATGTCCACCGTGTGCTTCACAGCCTGGTAGTGCAGGGACGGTGACTTACGCGTGGATTGGTTTTAATTGGTAGTAGTTTGGTGTTGTATCTATCACACTCTCTTCTCTTCATCCGTCTGTGCCCGGTGTGAAGGAAGCGTCAAGTAGAACAATGGCGGGATCGGCCACAGGCGGTTGGAGCCGCCAAGCCTGGCTCAGAATCCACGGAATTAAAGTGCCATAAAGTTTATGGGTGGCTGGTGCCTTCACTTACACGTGCCACTAACCCTCTCTTCCCCATTTTCGGCAATTTTATGGAAGCCCAACTCGAATAACGCCTGTCATGCCCTGATCTGGGCCCCCGTGTTGACCATCTACCCTCGGAGCAGACCGCAGATCATCCACTTCACAGTTGCCACGTAGCTAAAATGTGCCCTTTGTCATTTACGCCCTTCCACTCATAATAATGATGCTATCAGACTGGATCCGGTGGTTGCTGCACGAGCGATGCGATGGTTCGACGGTGGTCGACGTGTATAGTTCATTTTTAACTTAAGGGCGACTGTTTGTGCGGAAGAACTTTTCACATGAAAAGCTTTAGCCATACTGTGTCAGTAAATGGTCGTGTGTATGTGTATACAAATGAGAAGGCTAATGCGGTGACCGTATGTCCTGACATGGCGTGGATTTTGTGGGACTGTGTGACAGATGTTGGTCGCGGCTCGAGCCAGTGCTTCTTCAGTGAATGGACAGGAATTGCGGTGACAATGAGGTCAAGTTGGCATTATGTCTTCATTGTCCTCGATGTGTGTGTTCTTTATGTCCTCACGGCGTACTGGTTGAAAATCTCTTACCAGGCTAAATCAGAACTGGAAGACGGTGTTACATTAGTGTCTCCAGTTGTAATATTTGTGATTGCATTCTGCAGTGTGGGAGGCAGGTTTACCTGGTTAGCTTTGCATGTTTGAATAGCTCATCTCAGCTGACGGTGCGGGCAAGAGTGGGTGTTTACGAATTCGATCTAGGTAGCGATCTCGGTAGCGTACTATAGGTGTTAAGGCTAAGACGGTTAACCCTAACACCTACAATGTTCCAGACCCTGGTTCCTTAGGAGATAGGAGAAGTCTTGGGAA